CAGAGGGGTGGTGGATGCCCCATCCCTGGAAACATTCCAGGTCAGGTTGGACGGGGCTCTGAGCAACCTGATCTAGTTGAAGATGTCCCTGCCCACGGCAGGGGGGTTGGACTAGATGACCTTTAGAGGTCCCTTCCAACCCAAACTATTCTATGATTCTATGAAATTCAATTTTCTTAAAAATAAAACAAAACAAAACCGTTAAACAAAACAAAACCCGCCCCCCCAATCAAACACAACCAAACAAAAATCTTCCCCCAAAACTCTCCTTAAAATAAACTGTGATAACCTCAGACATGCTTCTCTATGTAGTAAAGAGAGCTCTGTTGATTCTGGCTAACTGCCAAATAACTTTCCTAATTGAAATAAATGGAAAAATTTCCGTTGGTTTCATTGGGACCAGGTTTTAGGTCTGAAACACTAAACCCAGAGATACAAGCTAATAAAGGAGATTCTGTTGGAAAGACCAGGGTCAACCACCAGTTAGTCAGACACAGGCTCAAATACTTGATGCAATAACTTCATGTCTGTCAAACTTTATGTGACCGTTTATCATTTTTACTATCCTGTGAGCAGGATGCAGTACATGTCTGGAAGCATGGATTCACTCTGCACAAACATCTCAAAGAAAGGCACATAACTGAAAATGATATCAGCTTATTGAACCTTTTTTCATGTGGCAGAGGAAAAAAAGATCTAAAGGGAAAAAAAAAAATCCCCATAACCACTTTTACTTCTGAAGCTTGATGATGTACCTTTCCTTTTATAAGGAGGGGTAGCACTGTTTCAAACCAGTTCTTAAACTGAAGGGAGTTTTTTTCCTCTTTGATGATATTTTCCCTCTCTTTCTCCCCTTCCACCTCCCTTCCCCATAGGTGCTTACAGAATTACATTCCAGCCCACAGCTTAACCCTTTCTTGCCCCGTGTGCCGCCAGACCTCCATTCTGCCAGAGAAAGGGGTTTCTGCACTCCAGAACAACTTCTTTATCACCAACCTGATGGATGTCCTGCAACGAACGCCGGACAACAGCATTGAAGAGTCCTCCATCTTGGAGACTGTCACTGCTGTTGCTGCGGGCAAACCACTCTCCTGCCCCAATCATGATGGAAACGTAAGTGAGATGAACTCCTGTGATATGTACAGGTACTGATATGTACTGACTGGTCTGTTTCGTCATGGATATTTTGTTCTAAGAAGATAGTGGGGGAATTGGAATCACACTAGTTCTTTGATTTTATAATATGTCAACAAAAGACAAGGGATTCTTAAAATTAAATCAAATGCTCTTAGTGGAGTATCTTAAAGTAGTCAGGATATTATTTCATCATACCAATCAGCTTGGATGATACTGTCTTTTAGCACATTTGGTCAAAATTGTTGTCCCGCAAGCGCTGAACCTTGTGCCTTTGCCTCTTTGGGAATGGGTTTCCATAGCTCTCTTATTTGTAGACTCAACTATTGCCGTGGAAACATGTGGGCTTGTTTAGGCAGTATGCGGTGGGGACCTTATAAACGTAACTGACCTGCACACTGAGGCAGTACCAAAAGCTATGTGAGCATATTAACATGGAGCCAAGTAAAAGGGTGTCCTAGCTCAGGATGCTTTGGGTCAGCACAGGCTAGAAACAGAGAGCTTCTGTTTATCCTGCAGTGTTTTGTGCATCTCATGTATCAGTCCTTGGAGGCTGCTTTGTTTTTTTCCCCCACCTACATTTTGCCCAGCATCCCTCCACATAAACCCTCAAATCGTATCAGTGTATTCATTGGCAAGTACCCCCAAATGAGTAAGTATCCCCAGATTATTACAAGAACAGCTCTAACTCTGCTTACATCACAATTTTCCATGTTAACCTGTGTGGCTTCATGGTAGGTATGTGAGCTCCTGTTTCATAGCCAGGCTTATGCAAACATTTAAGTAGACCGCGTTGCAAAGCTGAGCGAGGCTATGTTGTAAGCTGAATGCTGTGCTTCTATGCAAGCCAAGAAATATGTGCCAGTATTTTAATACAACTTTCTGGGAATGTTTTATTTGATACTCAGTTTAGGTATACAGGTTGTATAGGAATAATTCAGCTGATAGGTGGTGATTACTCTTACAGAGGAACAGCTCAGTTCCCTCTCCTTTACTGACCTGCTGGAATTAGGTGGACTTGTAGAACTGATTTGCTGTACTCTCTGATTAATGAATAACTGGTGTAACTTTTTTAATGTGTACTATACCTATGTGTGTGTAGTGGTTACTGATTAATACATTCCTAGTTTTTATTTGCATTTTATTGGCTCTCCTTAAAACAAATCATAGTTCTTTTCTGATATAGCAATCGTGATAGGAGCCATTTGATTGTGAAATGCAGAAAAAAGTCAAAATGAGATGTTACTTGTTTTGCATTTTACATTATCAGCTGCTGATTCTTTGGGTGTGCTTAGAAAAAACTGGTTTGCCTACAATTAAAAATACGCCACCTTATACCTCACTGAGAACTCCTTTCTAGGGAAAAGTGGGTTTGTAAGTCCTCTAAACCAAACTTACTTGGCTTGCCTTGAAACACAGCATGCCTTTTAGGATGCTGAGTAGAGTGTGATGGGAGTATCTTCTTGCTTCAGTAAGTATCTAGGAGGGCTGGGGACAGGCTGAGGGTGACTCCAATTTAAAGCTTTGTGAGCTAGGAAATTAAAAGCTAAAGTGCACACATTAGTCCTTGTGATGGGAGGAGCTGAGATGAGCTTTGGGGAGAGCTGCTTGAGGCTGGCCAGGTGGGTCTGGCTGAAGGGCAGGGTGTGCAGGGCAAGGTGCTGGGCACCTTAGGCCTGACTGAGGAAATGGGCTTTTGCTGGCTTCATGGGTACACAGCACGAGGGCACTGTGTGGCAAGTGCCTGGCTGCTAGCAGCTTTGCTGGGGGCTTCAGGGAGTGAGAGAGGATTGAGGTGGTAGCTGGAGGAGAATGCCTTCACAGAACCAGCAGTCATTATGCATTGAATCCTCTCTCCATTAATTTTTACATATTGCTTGGGGTAGGGTCAGACCCATTGTATTTTTCCTATCAAGGGAAAAATTTGCATCAAGTATATTTCATTTAAATATTACCAGATTTTCTTTGTATTAGCTTGGAAATAAGTTTCTGTTTAAACAAGCTTTTTCAATCTCTCCAGCCATGCTGGATTTAAACCTTGCTGATTAAGATCAGATAGAAACTGATGCACAGATACTTTCTCATTGGCTTGCCTGTCTGCTTGTAACTTAGCCTTCCTCAGGCCATGTAGATTAGATACTTTCCCTTCCAGTTGGTCTCTTATTCCCACCGCTCATATTTTCCATATGTGTGTGTGCATCCCATTCCTTCTGCGCACATCCTCTCATCCTCTGTTGTGGCATCTTCGTTGTATGTGTTCTTATGAAAAATGAAACTTAGCTTGTAGTACCTTAACACAAGAGATGTTTTCCTGTGCTTGAACTATAAACAAATGCGTCCTCATATTCACCCAACACAGAGCACAAATATATGTTCTTGTTAAATCGGGGTAATAGGGCACATATGTTATGGAACTTTTGAACCTAACAGAAGATTCTTATCTTCTGTCTACACATTAAAATAAAATTAGCTTTAGTCTCAATTGCTAAACAACTGCAGCTCTTGTTGGATAAAAGCATCTTGGTTTGGAAACATTGGTCTATAATCATTTAGGGACCAGGTACAACAGCCAAGACAGGGAAGGCTGTGAAATTGTACATCCATTACTTCATAATATGTAACGAGTGGTGTAGTCTCTTTGCAGTCACCCATCCTGAAAAGTCAATGCTTGGATTTTATTTGAATTTGAAGTGAAAGCCAGCCCAGAGTCTAGGATCCATGCTTTTACAGGTGCAGTGTGTTTTCTGCCTATAGAGTGTAACAAGAGAGCATACCCAATATTAAATTAAATGCTTGTAACAATAGAGCATGCCTTATCTCTAACTAGATTTTTCTCAAAAGATCACAGAATAGCTTGGCAACTTGACAGGTATAAGATCTTGTCTAGAAAAACATTTGCTGAACTTGTGCAGGTGTTGCTTACTGCCTGTATGCTTCTCTTAGAAAAACAAAAAAGCACCTATCGTTGATATTCTGATGAAGTGACTTCATAACATATCTTTTAAACCTTGTTTTTTCTCCTCACCTCTGTACTTCCCACCATGTCACTTGTGTACCCCATTAAAGTGTAATCTAATTTTTTCTGTACTCTGCAATATTCAGTGTGTCATTGAGGCTAAATACAAAATTCAGAATGTCAGACTTAATGAGCATTAGAACTAATAAACTGAGCTCACTGCTGGTGAAATTTTGTTCTGCCTCACAAGGAACATTTAATACAGTTAGGAAGCAATAGTGTGACTGATACAATCATATCTGGCTGAATTGGAAAGTCATACAAGGGATTTGGGTGGTTCACTTGTATGTAAGCACGTTGTTTAAGTCATGACAGTCTTACAAAACTTTTTTAAAAATTTGCTTAAAGCTTTCAGGTTTACTGCATGGGTAAGGCAGAAGTTATGACTAGGGAGAACAAAAGCCCACATTCTAAAATTTACCAGATATCTGGGAAGTGCCCTCAGGTAATCCAAACTTACATTCTTCTAAAAGCCAGAACATACAAAACTAAGGTACACACTAGCGCCAGGACAGAGGAATTAAACGTGTGTGTGAGACGAGGAAGAAGGCTGGCAAAAAGCAGACTCATCCTTTTTCTCTGGACTGCTGTTTCAATTCAAACAAATAGAAAGCAGAGGATGAACAATGTGATTATTTATATATATTTAAAAAAAAAATTAAAAATATATATAAATCACAAATGTGATTTTAGATAAGGGGGGCTTGTGATTGGTGAGAGCCTTTTTCTCGAGACCCGAACTTTGAAGGGCTGGAATTAGTGTGCTTTGGCTTTGTGAAATCTAATTCAGAAGTACCCACATCCTTGATTATGCAAATTAAAAAGTTTCTGTAAATTCAGTTAAATTACAGTGGTGAAGAGATGCATGAGTGTCTAATTAGATCATTGTGCTGAAATATGCTGGTCTGGTTTAAGGTGGGAGTTAGTGGATGGGATTTCAGAACCAGTGGGTATTAATTCACATTTCATTACAGCTGATGGGAATGTTCATGTTGACTTCAGTGGAAATACAGCTGAAGCCAGTGTTGGATGCCATAGTGTATCCTGCCCAAGAGCTCTCTTCAATTTGGAAAGAGGGGTTCGGGCAAATGTTTTTTTCTGAGATGTTTTGTAAAGCAAACCTGTTATCATGAAAAGCTTTCTGGGAATGTCACAAAATGTGATACCCATGTTGGGCATTGAGGGGAGAGAGGAAAAGCCAGTAATACATGTCTGTCTGTAGTTAGAAATTAATCTTACCTGATTAAGAAATGCTAGACAAAATCTTAGGAAATCAGCTTATCTAGGCACTTGAAGCCTGAATCTTATTAATATTAGGTTTTCTTTCTCCTTCAGCTATGGCACAATCCAAAGATTTTAATAGGAAATGAAAGCTGCTTCACTCAAAGCATTGAATTTGACTGGGGCAAAGACGACTGTTTCTATGCAGACATACACATTAGGTCTTTGTGGTCTGCTTGCTATTACCATTCTAGCTTATGTGATTCTCTGGTGCTTGAGTAAAGAGGAAGGAAGTTGATGAGGCTAAACTTTACTATGCCAATGAGATGCTTTCTTTCTTTCTTATATATGTTGCTGCAAATATAATGATGTTTATTATGAGGTGTTCAATAGGAAACAGAAATACTAAATTATTCTAATCATTGTATCCAAAGATAAAAATACTGAGTAAGTAAAGGGCTTGTTAAAATATCTTGAACCTAAGCATTAAATAATGAAGAGGCAGAAAGATGAACTTTTGACACTCATTCAAAAGAAATGAAAGTTTTTGACTATATAAAAAGACTTAAGAGTTTCCTAGTAAAATACTGTTCCTTTTGGTTGTTTCTGGTTGCAAATTTTTGAAGCCTTTGAAAAGAATTTAAATCCTAAGCTCTGTTTAACTCATTTCCTCTATGCACTGTAAGACTGCATCGCATCTTAGTGCCTACCGAAGTAACTGTCAGGCCTCAGAGGATCTACGACTGTGAGACTGCTAAATTCACAGTGACTGGAGTTGATGGGGGTTGTCATTGTTTAGAAGGTCTACTTTTTTTTTTCCCCTTGCTGATATATTTGATCTTACACAGTTTATTTGGAGCTGCTTTTAAGTTTTCTCTAAAGTGGCTTACACGAATGGCCAACAAATGACTAAACCCTCATCACATGTGAATCCCATATCTTGTGAATTGAGATAAGAGGGAAGAATGGGAATAAGACGGAAAGGAGCTTATCAGAGGAAAATCCTTATTAATGCTAATAGCCACATGCAAATCATGGTTCTTACTTCTGCCTCCTAATTCTCAAGACGTCTTGGAGCAGCCAGCTACTTTGCACGGTGCTGTTATAGGTCCCTCTGCCCACCTGAAAACAGCCAGTTTTACACAACCATCTTGTTGTCAACGAACATCTCCAGCGCAACCGTCTTTGTGTGAGAGGTCTGAGTGCCAGAAGCATCAGCCGAGTTATTCAAGATTCTGATGCTATGTTCTGAATGCAAGAGAGCTGCCAATGTCTTGCTTTGAAGCATATACTACGAGCTTCCTTATAAACTTTTAATAACCCTAAAATGCTTTGTGCTCAAGGACTTCCTAGCTGTAAAAGAAAGTCTCATGCCAAATTTGCATATATGTGCATTATTTTGACTAACATATGATTTTGGGCACAGAACTTTTCTGTTTCTTTCCCTTCATGAATATATACAGAATGTGGGGTATTTATTACATGTAAAGATCTTTTTTTATCTCCAGACAGCATCTTACTGGGTACATAGCAGGTTGAAACCATCTCCTCTTTCAAGTGTAGATCAGCACTCTTATTATAATCTCAGATATGAGGTTTTGATGGTTTTAAGGGATTAGTAAAGGGATATGGAGATTTTTCCCTGCAGCACGTTGGTTCATTTAGGGTGCCTTTCTCTAGCAAATAAACATGCTGTTTGGTGAGCGCCGTTATGAAAAACAGCCTAAGTTTACGCTTTCTTTGGCAGACCCTCTGGGGAGAGTAAGGGTCGAGTTAGCAAGGGGACTTGAATGCCCTGTTTTTTTGACTCGTTTCATGGAGTACTTGACAGAGACACCAAAACTCACTATTACACCGTATAAAGATGATGTTAGGGCCAGCCTTGAAATCCAGCATTCTGTTTCCCAAGCTGCTGTTCTGACACTTTCTGATAGAATAAAATGCATTTAAACCAGCATTTTGATATGAAATATATAAGAATAACAGCCATCTTTTAGGCAGTAAATTATTGGTGTCTAAGAAAAGAGAAACTTTGTCTCAGAGGTTGGATAATAACATGAGTTCAAGACCCAGTAAGATGTGCTTTGAGTGACTGCTGCCATGTTTGAATTTAGAGTTGTGCACTTTTCCAGGTGATGGAGTTTTACTGCCAGTCCTGCGAGACAGCCATGTGCCGGGAGTGTACAGAGGGAGAACATGCAGAGCATCCCACAGTACCACTCAAAGATGTGGTGGAACAACACAAGGCTTCACTCCAAGTCCAGTTGGATGCTGTCAACAAAAGGCATGGAGACTCCACTGATTACTTTCTGTTTTCAGTTCTACCACTGGCTTCTTGTGTTACCCTGGGTAGATGTTTTAATGTGCTGGTGCCATGGACCTTTACCTAGAAAACAGGGATAGTGAGGCTAGCGTAAGGAAAAAAAATCCATTGAGTGTGATGTGCACTGAGGGATTAAAGAGCAAAAGATTCCTATCTGTCTTTTGCAAAACAGAGGCCATTGGAAATGCAAGTGTCCTCCAAAGAAGGGGCATAAAATGTTAAGGAGAAAAGTACTAGCCAGTCATGAATTTTATGATAAATAAAGAATACTGGATGCTTAAAAGACTAGTGCAAACACTACGGCAGCAGAAAGGCAAAAAAGAAAAAGTGGGGTAGATCCAGTTATATCTTCCCGAGTAGATACATTTGCATAAAAGACAGAGGATCCAAGGCCTCCTTGTTGGAAGTGCCTAAAGTCTAATGGATTTCCACAAGGGAGGGCCCTGGCTTAGCCTTATTTTATCAGACCAAAACCACTATGTGGTTATAAAGGGAATGAACTTACTTCTGGGAAATGACCGAGTTTAAAGGCAGCCTGCTGATGAGATTGTTTCATCAAAAGATATCAGGGCAAGGGCCAATGTTTAATGACTTTTGAAACAGCAATCTTTGTAATTTAATCCCTCCCTCAGGCTTCCAGAGATCGACTCAGCACTTCATTTTATATCTGAAATCATACACCAGTTAACCAACCAAAAGGCTAGCATTGTAGATGACATTCATTCCACTTTTGATGAACTCCAGAAGACTTTAAATGTGAGAAAGAGCGTGCTGCTTATGGAACTGGAAGTGAATTATGGCCTTAAACACAAAGTAAGATGCATGTTTTGTTTCAATGTAAAGTTATTAATTTAATCAGCCAGTTTTTACAAATGATGCGGGACGCCAGTTTGACAAATTGTGTCTGAGATCCAGAGGAGAACTTTGTTTTCCTGAAATCAAGTGCTGCAGAGCCTCACTTGTGGGTGCTCAGCCTTGTAAATGGAATCCAGCCCCTGTATGGGCAGGTAGCCCTTAGTGCATGGTGTGTGAGGATCTAAAATGGCCAATACACTAAGCAGGCATCTGCTTAAAGCCAACATGCTGATGTGCAGATGACAATAATGGAACATCAAAGGGAAGTCTGAAATCCTCGGGCTGCAATCCTGTGAAGATACAGGCCAAACATTTCTCCTGAAGAGCTGAGCAAGGCTTACTGTTTTCCTTTAAAGCACTGTTTTCCTTTCAAGTGCCTGGTAACATATTTCATGTTAGATGTCACTGGTTGGAACACGTAAAGATTGGAGGGACATCTCATTTTCTCAGGGGAATGCAGACAGCAATAGATTCCAGAGCTGTATTCACTCTTCTACTTCCTATCTGGATGATTAAATCTTGCATTTTCCCCCCTGTATTGTAGACTAAGCTTCAGAGGAAGAAAACAGAAATCTGCCCTTTTACAAAGAGAAGCCTGTAGCCTGGTGGGTAGGGTTTTTGTTGGGGATTAGTAAGTCTGAATCAGGCAAATGAACGAAATTAGTCCTTGTCCTCCTGGGCATCAGTTGTCTGTTTTATATAAAAGAAAGATCTCTTCCCTCAAAGTAGCCTTTAAAAGAAAGTAGCATCAACAACTGGAGTTTCAAGAGTGCCTGATAATATTGGTGTCTTTGGGCATTCTCTGTGATTACTGAGCAGCTTGAGCATCTCCAGATGTCTGAAGTGGAGGAATGCTGCATTCCTGGATCTGGAACAGGCTTGATCATTGGGAAGGTATTGAACTGCTGGCGCTGTGAAAATGGAGGAATTCTAACATGTGCACAAGATGTGTACTTTCAGGAACACAGGGAGCCCAAAACCCTTGGGGCACAGAATTTAGTCATCTCCAGAGCTAAGTAGCAGCTGAGGAGCTTTTAGCATCAAAAATTTGGATTTAGATCCCAGGTTCATTTAGACGTATCCAAGATGTCACAAAAACTTATTTTCTTAGCAAGCAAATATACTCAGGGTGTGTACAAAGTTCACACACGATGGAATATGATGTTAAATTATCTTATATAGGGATTTAAAATAGTTTAAAAACTATTTTGGGCGTTAGAGAACCAAATTTTTACAAAGCTGCACATAAGCAGTAAAAGAGGCATCTCCCCTGTTTGTATAGAAAAGAGTGATTGGAATTGGATTTTGTTTTTGAATGAATAGTAGTCCTGCAAAATAATTCAAACCCAAATATTCCATCACTCTGATCATGTACTTTGCAAAAATGAAAAAATGAAAGGGCTACACTTTACTAAAAAAGTTGGCAATTCAGTTTCAGTTGTCCAATGGACTGAAAGAGGCCTCATGTAAAACACTCTAAACACATTTTAAATATTAGTTATGGTAGGATTGAATATTTTCCATCTTTGTAATGAAAGAAAACTATATTGAGAAAATAATGGTTTTAAAACGTAGCTGCAAATTGTCTTCCTCCTCAGTTTGTGGTTTGTTATCCCAAGCATATGGGTTTTTGTCATCCTGGGACTTTATTAGCTATGCTCTCTGTTTAACTACTTATGTCCTGGAATAAAGACAAGGCAGATTAGAAATGCCTTGTATTGAATCCTGAGAGGTTTAGAGATGCCTAGAAAAACAGATAACTTGAAATTTCAGTGTAGTCTTGACATTCGTTCATTCTGTTTTGCTTGCAGAAGATTTTGTGTTGTTATCGCCTTCCCGTATCAGTAACTCATCAGCCTGGATTTTCTCCAGTGGGTGAAAAGCAGATAGCTTTATAAAATTCAGAAGAAAAATGCCCTTAGAATGCAGTGTCATTACATGGTGCGTCTCAGCAAGGGAAGAGCATCTCATAGCAATAAATACACCCAGTCTCTAAGTTTACTTTAAAATCACTTGAAATGTTTTGAAAATATTTACTTTACAGTGATTGTCAACAAAATAACTTCTCTGATCCACAGAGTTCTGGTTCTTCTCTGTAGGAAAAACATACCACGTGTGACTGGCTACTTTGGTTTGGGGATTTCATTAGTGGAGAGTGTGGGAGGTAGCTGGAAAGTTTGGGCTTTCCTGACTGTCATGGATTTCTCTGCTAGGTTGTTTTAATTAAGGGATCCTTTTTCCAATTCATTGCAAAACTGGTTTAAAAAAAAATCTTACCCTTGTTCCCAGCCCAGACCTAACAATTTTGAGGTCAATACTGTTTTAAGGATTTTAGACTGAGGGCCAGAACTGAGCCTATAATAAACCATTTTCTCAGTCTTAAATACAGAGTAGCTACTTGCTGCCCACCAAAATTTCAGGCTACTCAACCCAACTCTTCCCAATATCCACACCCCATCCTTTACATTTTGCTTTCCTGCCTGCTGAAACTGGGGAATCAACTTACCCGCTTCTGCTGGGGAGACTTTTCCTTTCTTCACTTATTTAGATCAGGAATCACACTTTTCCTCAGGATGGATGTACAGATCTTGAGAGTGCCTTCTTGTCCGTCTCCATAGAGGAGTAACCCAAGGTTTCCCTTGGCTCTGAAGAAATAGTTTCAAGAAGTTTCTTGCAGCCTCCCTTATTAATGGGCCTGATGACTCCAAAGTATCTTTATCTCTGTGCACACAGCTCAATTCCCGGTAACTATCTCATTAACTGTGACTGCTGAGAGTTAGATGGAGCAGGGTTCAAACGTCTACATTTGTGGTGTTTGGTTTTTTTTTTTAAAAAGACAAGACAGACAGGTGGGGCAATAGTTCAATCTAGTGTGACAGTGGATCTGTGAAGCCTTGAAGACCCAAAACAGGGTACATTTTGTGTTGCAGCGTGATATTCCAAGAACATGTAGCAATCAGTGTGGTAATTTTTCTAAAATGAAACTTTAAAATAAACTCTAAAACAAAGCGCTGTAAATTGGGTTTCTACAAAGGCCTTCAGATATAAAGCATGCTACATATTGCTAGGATAGTTCTTGTAACATGATGCTAATCTGGTGTTTGGTAATGCACACAGGTCCTCCAGACACAGCTGGATACCTTACTTGAAGGACAAGAAAGCATTAAAAGTTGCAGCAACTTTACGGCCCAGGCCCTCAACCATGGCACTGAAACTGAAGTTCTGCTGGTGAAGAAGCAAATGAGTGACAAGCTGAATGAACTGGCCGAGCGGGACTTCCCATTGCAGCCACGTGAAAATGATCAGTTGGACTTCATAGTGGAAACAGAAGGCCTGAAGAAGTCCATTCACAATCTGGGTACTATTTTAACCACCAATGCTGTTGCCTCTGAAACAGTTGCCACGGGTGAGGGACTGAGGCAGACAGTGATCGGACAGCCCATGTCTGTTACCATCACAACTAAGGACAAAGATGGTGAGCTCTGTAAATCTGGGAACGCTTACCTCACTGCTGAACTGAGCACGCCCGATGGGAGTGTAGCGGATGGAGAAATACTTGACAATAAAAACGGCACTTACGAGTTTTTGTATACTGTTCAGAAAGAAGGGGACTTTACTTTGTCACTGAGACTTTATGATCAACATATCAAGGGCAGCCCGTTCAAACTTAAAGTGGTCAGATCAGCGGATGTGTCCCCTACCACTGAAGGGGTTAAGAGGCGTGTTAAATCTCCTGGTAGTGGTCATGTGAAGCAGAAAGCTGTGAAAAGACCTGCAAGCATGTACAGCACCGGCAAAAGAAAAGAGAATCCCATTGAAGATGATTTAATCTTCAGAGTAGGTAGGTGACTTGTCTGCTACCTATTGACATACTTAAAAATAGTTCAGAGAAACTAGATGAAAAAATCTAGAAGTTACATTATTTTAAGGTTAAAGCTGTAATTAGAGCAACCTGATAATACTTTTAGACCTCTTGACTTTTGTTTGTATGTAAATTTTAAAAGCACATACTTCAGAAATTCTGTTTGCAGCAAATATTTAATTGGAATTTGGGTTGAGAAATGCATACATTTGATTTGGGATAAAATATTTTACCACCTCTTCTGTACTCTATTGGGCATCACAAAATGAAAATACAAGAGCGATGCTTCAGATTAGATTAAATTGCTTCTTTAAAAAGTTGTGTGAAAAGAAGGGAAGTAGGACTCCTTCTCTAAAACTATTGCCTTAAAGATGAATCTGATTAATTAACCTGAAACTATGCATGCTAAATCCTGTGGTCATATATAGTAATTTCATTATGTCAGCATAGGACAAAATTACGATTTCCTTTATTTCCTTTCCCCCCCAGTATCTAAATATGTTTGGTTCTTTATACAGTGTAATGTTATCTCTAAATCTGCGGACTTCTAATGCTTGGTAAAAATATAACATCTTGCTGTCATTTACTGTGATTTTTCTTTCAGGTCTTTTGATGTTTTATTTTTAAGCTATATAATAATAATTCACCATTTTAAAAGTCTGTACCATGGGGTATTGTATTTATACGATGTCTGCTTATATAGTTAGAAAATACTTCTCACTTTGCACAACTAAAGCAAAAAGCAAGTTAATTCTTAATATGTGCAAGTCAGGACTTCAGTATGTGTTACCAGGTTTGACAACCAGTCGGCAAGGTGGCTTTCCCCTTTGTAGCAGAGAATGGATGGTGGTTAATCCTGGAGGGTTTTTTTAGTAATTCTATTGAAAATTCATCTGGACACCATTTGTCAGTTGGTTAACTCTGTCCATCTGATTTCTCATCTGTCAGTATTTCTAATAGATACCTTGCTTCGACAGAGAGTACATGCAATAACATAATGGTTTTATATCAGAAAATGTATTCAGCAAGCATGCTGATATAAATGATATATCAGCATTTCTAATATAAAACCATGCTTTGCTTGCTGAATAGGACAGTACAATGTAAGCTTTGGATGAAGCCACTCCTAAAATGACCAGCCTTTCCCAGGTGGCCAGTGCATTTCCTAGTAAGATAAATGACCCCATAAATACAACACCTCAAAGCATTTTTTACAGAGGCAATGATATCCAGCTTTACTGTCGCTAAGGCTAAATTTTATTCTGAGTCAAAAGTCAGAAATATGATGTAGAACAATTCATACTGAAGTCGAGCCAGCCCTACTCAGCAGTAACCATGCTTTATCGTCCAAAGCTAGTAGGTGACCTTTGTTAAATTGGTGCTCAGACATAGCCCTTTCCCTAGCAGGAGGGTGTTCTTGTTGCAAAAGCTATTGCTGTAGTCGCCACTGGCAGAGGCCCTGTTAGCAATCCCATGGGGAGAGAAGCCCTTGCACAGGGCAGAGTGATCAGCCTCAGGCTCCTGCTGGAATGGAAAGGGACCTGTGGCTCTTCCCAAATGCAGTTTCACTGCTGGCACTGGTAAGAGTGGCAGAGGGTATGTATAAATGTAGCTTAGATCTTTTTTGGGCCCTGTTTTGAGACAGGGTTAAACAAATCAGTTAAGAATAATGTCTGAACCCTGTCTAGAGAGAAAACACCTCTCTAATCTCTTCTGGAACGGTTGTGACGTGTTGTATGCTAGACAGAGAAGGGGCTGGACAGACAGATTCAGGCAGAAAGGGTCTGTGGGTCTGTAGCAGGCAGGAGCAGGATAGGAAAGCCTGCACAGGTACACCGTGCCTGTGAGTAACAGGGGAGCTCTGTTACCCGTTGTGAATTCACACATTCACACATTCACTGAATGCTAAGCCCTCTTGTTGATATATATCAAGCATTAATTTGTCCTGGTGCGGAAATCATAGATCTAAATACATTAAAAAAAAAAAAAAAAAGTCCTGAAATTATTTAAAAACGGTTAATAATCTTATTACAAAGCTTTTGGTATGGATTAAAGTGATTTCAGCTTGCAATTTCTGCTTCTGTGTCCCTTGCTTCTAGTGAGCAGTTTCTAGCCTGACTACCCAATAGTGGTACGGCTCTGGTTTGGGTTTTGGTGGTGGTGGTGTTATTTGTTTGATTTTTTT